TCTTCAAGAACTTCTTGAGTTTTACGCTTCTTTGCAGCAAAGATGTCCTAGTTTTTTTTTCATTTTAAATCTAACATTAGGAGGTACTCTACGACAAGAATTCACATCATCTTTTAATCCTACTAAGTGTTGTTTGACTCGATTAATACCACTTCCAGCAAAAGTCTTCCCACAATACAAGCAAACAAGTTTTTTATTTATTTATTTTTATTTTATTTTTAGAAGTACAGCTTCTAAAACCTCTCTACAATGACCACCCCATGCTATATTAGTTCTTCATCTAGCACTATTTTTAGGTGAAGAACTATGCGGTGTACTAATCGAACCATTGATGTCCAAATATATTATTATATAAATTGACGTCCAAATCCAAAAACCGCAGCTGCTGTTCCATTCAAGTCTGTAAAACAATATAGAAACAAAAATTCTTCTTTGGAATTCATATTTATGCAATTATGCTTTGTAAGAATCTTAAATTGCACAAAACAACTAATTATATCTTGTTTTAAAAAATTGAAATCCACCACAAGAATATTTTTAACTAATTAATCAAACTCTATTTATACTGGCTTCATACTGACTAGTTCTTCTTCCATCTCTTAAGACTTCAAATTGGAGATTTGGATTTTTGGGAGTGATTGAATTGGAGACAGCAGCGGAGGAGTTTGATTTTGGAAGGAGCATCGCCTAATAACGTGAGTTGAGGAATTGGAAAGAGGAAAAAACAGGTTTAAAAAAAAAAACATAAAACCCTGTTGGGTCAAGGGCAAATGGATCGGCAGGTTACTTAAAAACCCAACAGTTCGACGAGTTTCAAACAATTGATTTGTCCACCACTAAATCTGTGTGACTCGAATCAGACCAGGGTCCGGTTCGACGGTATTGGGGTTGAACCGACTAGTCTGATCCGGGTTTTATAACTATGGATTAAACTGCAATCTTAAGTTTTTAATAAATATCTTTTCACACTTAATTTGTAATCACTAAAGTGAATACTTTATTGCTAGCTTCTACAGTTGAAAGGCTAATTCATAGTATTAATTGTTTATTAATAATTTTTTCTATTATATAAATTATGTTGAAATTTATATATTCAAAAATCGAATTCAAACTATCGTATTCAACTATGGATAAAGAAACTGTTTTCAATCAAAACAATAGATCTCTACTAATTAAATGGATTATGTTAGTGAAAACAAAAAGTACAGAAAGACAAGAAATTTCTTAATTATTTAACATAATTATTTGATTATGGCAATCTTTTGAAAGCTTACTCAAGCCTCAAGGATCACGTGAATAACGTAATGTTACTATTGATCTGGACAAACAATACATTTAGAATAAGAAATTTATTCACTGCTAAAAACAATAATTTAACTTCTAATGCAATGATTATGAGAAAATAGGACCAAAACGAAGCTCGTTGATTTTAATGCAATATTAGCTGTCAAGTTCAACAATCGACTACTAATTAGTTTAAACTTTAATAAGGAGATTGGATTGAAATAATTTGGAAATCTCCACCTTGCTAAAATTCTATACCAAAATGAAATTCAAAAATTAATTTATCTAACCAATAAAACATGCAAGAAAGCTTAACTGGGCCCTATTTGAGCCACATTATTTTTTTCATTCTCATTCTTCTACTTATTTTCAACCACACATTTTTTAATAAAATAATATTTTTCATCACATCAATAGTTTTTCCTTCTTTTTATTTTTCATCACATCAATAGTTTTTCTTTCTTTTTCAACCACATATTCCATATCACATCAAACAAAAAAAATACATTCTTGGACTAAAAATGTGTACCAACCAAGGGCTGATTATTTATTTAAGAAAAAGCTATAATGATTTGAGTAGAACCCCCACTATAAAAAATCACTATGTTAAGCAACAAATTAGTCCCTCACTCCATGGATTTCCCCGTCTCAAAGATCGGCTCTTCCATAACTGCAATATTCACCTTGTTTTTAATTTTCTACTTGTGGTTCAGGTCTAAAGGTAGCAAAAACAATGAACCGCCAGAAGCTGGTGGCTCCTGGCCTTTCATAGGCCATCTCCACCTCATAGGAGGCGGCTCTAGGCTACCCCACATCACTTTGGGAGCAATGGCGGACAAGTACGGACCGGCTTTTACAATCCGGCTCGGTGTACACCGAACCCTAGTGGTGAGCAGTTGGGAACTGGCTAAAGAACTGTTCACCACCTGGGATGTGGCTATATCTTCACGTCCGAAATTTGTTGCAGCTAAACACATGGGTTATAACTTCGCCATGTTTGCATTCTCCCCTTACGGGGCATATTGGCGGGAAATACGAAAACTAATAGCTGTAGAATTATTCTCTATCCGCAGTCTGGAACTCCTTAAACAGGTACGTGTTTCAGAAACTGAGCTATCCATGAAAGAGCTTTACGAGTTCTGGAACGCGAAGAAAGATGAGTCCGGCCAGGTATTGATGGAAATGAAGCAATGGTTTGGGTACTTGAACTTGAATGTTGTTATTAGAATGGTTGCTGGAAAGAGATATTTTGGTGCAACTGCTGATGGGGATAAAATAGAGGCAAGACAGTGCCAGAGGGTCTTGAGGGATTTCTTTCATTTGGCTGGACTTTTTGTTGTGGCTGACACTATCCCTTTTCTTGGGTGGTTGGATTTAGGTGGATATGAGAAAAAAATGAAAGAAACTGGAAAAGAAATGGATAAAATTGTTGAGAAATGGTTGGAAGAGCACAAGCAAAAGGAAAATTCTGGTAGTAAGCAGGATTTCATGGATGTCATGCTTTCAGCTGTAGAAGTCACTGCCCTTCAAGATTATGATCCTGGTACAATTGTCAAATCCACTTGCCTAGTAAGTGTTTTTTTTTTTTTAATTAATTCTTGGTTTGATCCTACCTTTCACAAATTGATGTGTTTTTCTTTCTTGACGTTGTACATTGGAATTCTTGAAAATTGATCCCAAAAATCATGATCTCCAATAAATCAAAAGGTATATCAGACTTGGTCAGTACTCTTGATCAGGTTTTTATAGTGTCCCCAGTGGGCAGAAGATTAATCCTACAAGTTTAGTACTAGATAATCATGGCATAGTATAATAATGAAAAAAGATTACTTCTTTTAATTTTATTTTTCTTTCATCATTTTAGTATTTTCAAATTCAATGTGTAAACAATATAACAAAGAGTCTGTTTGGCAGTGTTTTTAGAAAGTCAAAAGTTTCTTTTAAGACCAAGAAAGTTACTATTGAACTTGTTTATATAATGTTTTAAAATTATTTTGTCAATTTAGAAGAACTTTTAGAGAAGCTGATTTAATATGATTTCCTCATAAAATTCTTCTATAAAAAGCAAAAGCATAAGCCATGCTTTACAGGCCCAATAACATTAATTCTACGAGCATAAAATTTTCAAGCCATGAAGGAATTTATCATAAACCATTTCATAATTATATAAGAAAGAATCATGTGGCAAAATGATTAAAAAGCATTTCTTGATAAAAAGTAATTAAAAGTTACTTTTGAGCGACTTCTGATTTCTAAATATATTTAGATCAATTATTTTTTTGAACTTTTAAGTAAAAAAGTTACTTAGTCTGATAGTAATTTGTACTTGCTCTCAGAGTTTAATTGCCGGTGGAGGTGACACAATCACAGTTATGCTAGTATGGGCACTATCCTTGTTATTGAACAACCGCCATGTGTTGGAAAAGGCTCAACAGGAATTAGACATCCATATTGGAAAGGAAAGACGAGTAAAAGAATCAGATATCCACAAGCTAATCTATCTCCAAGCCATCGTCAAAGAAACATTACGGTTGTACCCTGCTGGATTCTTAGGTAGCCCGAGAGAATTCTCCGAAGACTGCAAACTAGCCGATTACCATATTCCAAAAGGCACTAGGCTAATCATTAACTTGTGGAAGATACAAAGAGACCCTCAAGTATGGTTTGACCCATTGGAGTTTAGACCGGAGAGATTCCTCACGACTCATAAGGATTTCGATGTCAAGGGTCAGAATTTCGAATTGATCCCATTTGGAGCCGGTCGAAGAATTTGCCCTGGCATAGCATTTTCCCTTCACATGTTACACCTAGTCATGGCTAATTTGTTGCATGCATTCGAGCTGTCAACTCCTTCTCATAAATCGGTCGATATGACTGTGAATGCAGGACTAACAAATATGAAAGCAACTCCACTAGATGTTCTTCTTTCTCCAAGGTTATCTCATACTCTTTATTGAGCCTGAGAAAATCTATTATCATGCATGCTATAGATAATAAGAGTATAAATAATCACGCTGTTTTATTATGAAGAGTTCCATGTGTATAAACAATAAAATTAAAGTATTGCATTTTAAACAATGAATTTGTTTTCACGTAATGCATATTCGAAATTGAGGTGGCACCGGGTCTCCTCAAGTATCGTTTGACCTATTGGTCTAGGCGGTGGCATATCTCCTAATTCATTGCTCGTTGCATTAAAATTCGTTGCAACTCCATTGAACAATAAATTAAAGGGATCACTGTTACCTAAACGGATGATGATTATCATTGATGATGGATAGCATTATTATTTAAGTAATGATTGAAAACTATATTACGTCTTTGTAAATGTAACCCTTATTTTTCTGTGCACTTTATCATTAAGCTTTTGTTTGGTGTGGATTAAAATTAGATTTTTTTAGCATATTTTAATATAAGTTCATGAAATATATAGTTAAAAAATTGTGGGTCTCATGAAATATGTGGTTAAAAATTGAAAGTTTTAAATTACCGAATACTTAGACTCAACACGTGAAATTACACAATTAAAAGTAATAAGACACTTTTTAATTGTTTCTAGATGCTTAGATCAAACAATTCAATTTATCCTAAATTTGAATACCACAATCAATAATTAAAGTCCTAAAGAACGCCAAAAATGATCATGGAGAAACCCCAAATAGGTAGAAATTTCGAGCACTTTGTTGGTCAATAATGTACTATAAGTCGAAGCAAACTTACAGACAGTTAAGACTAAGTCTATCTCGCATAACCTCTAACCTCAATTCCTGCAGTCTCCCTTGATCCTATTGGAGGTGTGCTCCTTCAAAACAAATCTCAACTCCTGGTTTATACCTTAACCCTCATGGACTGCATATTTTTTATGTCAGATCCCGACTCCTAGTACCCACCTTAATCCTCATGAATTTGTGTTTTTACAACAGCTCCCGATCCCTGGTATTGATTTATCTCCGATGGATTAGATGGTTTGATGTTTGATCAAAAGATCTTGTGTGTTTTGATCTGTAGTTTAATATGAAACAATATGAGTTGATCAATACAATATGTTTAGGAAGAATTTATGAATCAAGTAAAATGTGATGATTGAATTTTGGAGTCAATAAATGTTTGGGATCTTCAAAAAAATGATCTATATGGAATAAATATGATTCAACTCACTTCTGGACGTCTCATAGAGTGTATATTTATAATGAATAATGTTTGAGATGAAAAATGAACTCAAAATAAGCTTGAAAATCGAATATAACCACGTCGCTCGAGCGCTGGCCAACAATAGGCGAGCGGCAATTGAGCATTCATTAGTATTTCTATCATAACTTCTTTCTCGATGTCTAATTGAGGTGATTCAAGTTACGTTAAAAAACTAACTCAATGGGCTAGCAATATTTTCTATGTAAAAAAGCATTACAAGTTTCTATTGAGAATCTGGAGCATAAGTTGTGCGGCTCTTTGACACTTTTTAGACTTCTAATTACATTCCAATAATTATATGTGATCTTCTTGAACATCTTGGACTTCTTTTCCTTCCCTTTGGACTGTATCAGCCATATACTAATTTTACCATAACTTGAACGTTTTTAATCATAAGTTGAAAGGAACAATGTTCACGATCTAAGTTGGGTACTTAACTTCACGTATGAATCTCGCTTCGATAAGTTTATTAACTTCCACTTCAATTTGAGGAATTAATTCTAGTCGAAATCTTCTTTGAGGTTGCTTAAATGGATGAACCATATGTCTTATTGTAAGGTAATGTACTACAACTTTAGGATCCAACCAAGGCATTTCCTTGTAAGACCACGAAAATACATGTTCGTATTCTTGAAGCAAGTTGATATACTCAAATTCTTCTCTTTGATTGGATAGAGCACTTACAAACACCGATCTCGTGTCTTCTTTTGTTCCGAAGCTCAATTATTTCAAGTTATCCACATTACTTTGCCCCCTTCTTCAAAAGTAGGTGGGGCTGGATTAAGTTTATTTGTTGTGTAAAATTTTCAAACTCAGATTCCGAGTTAAAAACTTCTTCAAAAGCGATGTAATTTATCGATACTTCTTCTTTATCCTCATCATTCTTTGGGAATGAGTAAATTTATGATAGTTTAGTCTTTTTGAGGCTTCAGACTTGGATTAGATGTTTTAATTCTAAGTCGAAAGAATGCAGATTATTTTTGAGATGACTTTTGAAAGGCTTGTGCATTCTTATCAATTTGAGTAGACGAGTAAGGATCAACATTTAAACTTTGGAAGACAGAAGTTCCATCTTTTATATCAGCTGTAAAATACCGAAAATTTGGCATTCTTGTTGTCAATTCGATCGAATATCGAAGGCCTCGACTCTTCTGATTTATCCTCTGCAACTTTATGGATTTGAATCATGATTGGGTTTAAGGAAACCTTCTTGACTTTAATTTTTCTCGGCGGATTTGGATCATATCTCAAACCATACCTAGGTCGTGACGTAAGGGGTCCAACAGAATCGAAAGGAATATACTGACCTGAAATAAGATCACCTAGTTTACAATTCTCTACTTTCCTAAATCCAGCATTATCAAAAAGCTTTTTGACTTGAGGATTGTAACACCCTTTGAATGTTCATTTTGACTCTTCTACTCCTTTAGTATCCTGCATATTTTGTTTGGAAGAGCTTGCAATAGAAAGCTTTGATATGTTTGGAATAAATTTCAAAACTTCTAAAGTAGACTTACGTTCTCCTTGGGCCATCATGACTTGATGGGGGAAAATAGTTTTGGAAGACTAGGAATCGGAAGACTTTACTCTTTTTTCAATTCCTCAACATATGTTCGATCTATTTGAGGTTGTTTTCCTTAAAGATTTCTCCATATGTAAACCTTGTCTTACCTTTAATAAGTTGATGAGGTAGAACAAATCGATGTCTTGTTATTGTCTGTATCTTCTATAATTTCGAATCCGAACATAGACAATCCTGCAGAATGACATTGTTCATCGTCCATGTAAAATTTGGCATCTGTAAAATGAGATTCTTCTTTGAAGAACGGTGTGTACTCAGCTACTACACATTTGACTTCTCCACTTCGGCTATATTTGAAGTATGGTACCAAGTTGAAAGTACCACTCCAATTTCATGTAGCCAAACACGTCTAAGGAGTAACTCGTAGGATGTTTTAGCATCAATAACATGGAAGAGAACTGAGAAAATCAACTCGCCTATTTGCAGCTTTAGGCAAATCATGTTAATGGCTCACTGGCCTCTCTGGTTGAATCCTTAAATCATGATCTTACTCCTGGGTAAATCACCAACATTGATTCCAATTTTCTTCATTATCTTGATTGGCATAATATTTACGGCAAACCCACAATCAATCATCATTCAGTTTATTTTGCATTCTCTAATATAAGTACTAGCATGCAATGGTCTATTATGTAAACAAGAACCGAGTTGTAGATCTTCGTCGTTAAATGTGATAGTGGTCACACAATCTTGTTAAGTTATGGCTCCAATCTATGCTAAGAACTTGCCTTCTGGGTCGATCAATGCTACAACTAAAGCCATTCGATTGTTAAAAGGAAGACTAAGGGACTCCATCAGACTTGTATTAGAAGGAATGTTGTTGAGTTGTGAAATAGTTTTCTTCTTCTTTGAACTCTCTATCGATATCCTTTGTTTCATTTTTCTCCTCTACATGGAT